GAATTAATGTATTTTGCTCAAAATTGTTTTATCGAAACCTCGCTCCTTGTCACATTCAATGACGTAAGCACAGAAAGCACAGTATTATGTCTATTTGAGAAAACTTCTATTATACTTGCGTCAGTCTGATGTCTACGAATTGCCGAGATAATTATTTACCCTTCCATGAAATGCACGGTGATGCAAAATACATTGACGGCCGCACTTGGAAATTGTTTAAACCAACCGACACCGAAACCGGAAACGTAGCAATTGCACTCGCACTTCCTGCGCGCATACTTCAGTATGCAAAGATGCACGTGCGCCTATACTGAGGATTATACATATGTACACAACATACATGCATACACGCAAACGAATCACTGGCGTATTGGCACGCGAGTATGACGAGGTAGTTACGTGAGACAAAACGAAGGTACTTACTACACACGACGGCGACGATGGTGGCACACACATAACCAGCACACAATGCATATGTACCATGTACGTATGTATATTCAAAGAAATCGAGTACCGATGCTGTGTATGTATTTGAAATCTATGATACTGTAATGTTGTTGAACCGGTTATTAAAGATGTCATTGTTACCGAAGAATACCATGAGTTATGCTCTTTAACACATCAATGACCATGTCGTATCAATTGATTTCGCAATCAGTCCAATGATTTGTTATGTTCATACATTGTCGAGTACATTACGGTTAATTTGTGAGAGCAGTTGTTAATCGATTGAATAAAAAAAAGAATTAACGAAATGATTATTTTCATTGATTTATTTCCATTTTCAGTTCTCGCAATTACAACGAACCCAACTTTCCCTATTACTAAAGATTCTTTCATGATTAAGAAATAATTACTTTACAGGATGTTTCTACGATTTTATATTTCAGTAAGTGCTATTACATCGCCTGCGACGATGATTTGCATATATGTTCATCGTATTTTGAATATCGAAGACTAGTTAAAGAATTTCCATAACAAGAATTCCTGCTACGTGTATCAAATTCTCTATTCAATGAGCAGTGCAACTTTTTACCGTGAAATATTTAAACGACTTGTAAAGATATCGACCGTGGCGTTCGTTGCTTAAGCCAGGAAAAATAGCGGCACGTGCCGGATGGAATTCGGGCCTAATGAAAAAGCAAGCATAAAGCGCGCGGGCGGAAGAGGGAGGCGAGAACGCATTGATGGGGTATCTGCGGGGCCCAATGTCAACCTAACCCCATCAAAGTGTAATAATATTTATATTAGGGCGCGGCTGATAGGGTAGGGACATCGGTTGGGGCGCTTGGCAAGGGAACAAGTCGTTCGCGTCGTGGGGTGGCATGCTAAAGGTCGATCTACACAGGGCGATGCCGGAACAACGGGAAATTTCAGTTCGACGTTGGGGATAATGCTGTAGTTATAACTTCGAGTATGCCTTGCTTACTGCATGCAAAAGCAGGAGACCTCAGAGGGCCCCAAAGATATTTTAGAAAAGAATGGGGCAGTTAAGGGACTCCTCATTTGGCGAGAAACATTCGTGATTGCCGTTCGCTATTCTCAGAACGGATATTTGGCTACCCTAATGGCTTTTTAAGTATTGTTATTCTTATCGTCGCTTATAATGATCATGATCCTTGGGTTATCGTGTACTAAATTTCCATGCGTTATTTAATTCTATGTGCCGTTTTACTATCTAGTTACGATCGTATGTTGACCTACATCAAAGTTATTCTCCTCCTCGACTACGAACACAGGAATATCGATTCGTTTTTATTTTTGTTTCACGAACGAGACTTAAAATTTCGTACGATGAAACGATTTTTGGATATTTATGAAGGTAGAGCAATTCTTTCTGAAACAGAAGAGCTTACGAATTGTATAGGCATCCTTTATTTTTCGTGCAAAAGAAGAATAATTTCTTGTCTTTAAAGTATTCAGCATTTTTATCGATTTCTCTTTTCCGCGACCAGCGAGTATAAAATCGAGAGTACATATTGAAGTCGTAACGAGTATAGCCGTGGAGACTTCAACGAACGCCGATAATTTCAACGTACCTTCCCGTCACGTTATGTGCGTCGAATTTCCTGGTTCATGGAAACAATAGTTCACTTATATCAAAATTAAGAAATATCGAGAAATACATCAAGTATTTTTTTAAACTCAGCGAAATCAAATGGATTAACGTTGTCGACAATTTTCTATTGGCACAAATCATTATCATATCGTTAATTATGAAAGCGGATCCGGTAATCGCGTTAATTATTGCTGAAAACGATGACGATGCTAAACCAACAGCGTTACGGGCAACACGAGGAGCGCTGGTAATCCCTAAATCCGATTATTCGCCTCATCGGTCCTCGACAACACCAGCCTGCCACCCCCAGTGTTCAATCAATGTTTCTTTTGCCGCCGTACATATCCCTTTGCCGCTCGCCTTTTTCGCTTCCTGCTGTTATACAATAGTGCCGCTCGACAATTACTTCCGGAACATCTGACAACTTCTAAATTAAAATTGCATTGAAATAGGCACGTGAATTCACATGGGTTCTCACGTTCATATGATATTTATCAACTAAATATACATACGACTTCTGCGACTGTTTTCTTTGCCAGGAGAATAAAGAACAAAAATGTTTTGCGATCGTTTAGCATGATACAGAATTATTACAATCATGTTAAAAGTTCCTTGTTATTAGACGTATTTTATTCGTATTTAAAATACAGCAGCTGTTCCGAGGTATTCATCAGCTTCCGCAAAAGTTAATTTGCAATCACGGTTACGACATCCGACTGAAGTTGTTAATTAATCCAAACTATGTAACATCGGCTTGAGGCGATCAAAGACTGTCGCAACCAGGCTGATCAACAAGTTAAAACGCGAGTTAATCTCGTCTCACCGACACTCGAAACAGGACGGACTTCCACGCGAGACGTTCGCGTTCTTACGCTTTTCTTCGCACCCTCCTGGAATGCGTAGCTGTCGTTTCGAATCTCGTCGAGAAGTCTCGAAGGGCCTACTGTCAATTAATCGTGCCTGGCCAATCTCTAAGGGTCGGGACTTGAGCTCGGGACAGGCACAGGGAAGGGCAGACACCACCAGGCGCGAAAACCTAATTCAGTCCATGTCGACCGACAACCTCGGGTTCCTTTCTAATGTCCGGCATCCCGTGAATCCGATTTGTCGGCTCGTTTGTCTTTGAGATACAATCACCAGATACACCGTTTCGTCTAACGCTAACCATTAGAACCATCGACAATACCGAATTCTTTCCCTGTGATGAATGCTTCTCATAATCTGTTATTTATATCTTATTTTAAAACAATAGTAGCTTTCACTATTACAATGTTACGGTGGCTTTTTAAAATGTATACTTAAAGAAAATCAGAGATACAATACAGAGTAAAAATACAGAGATATAAAGAAACAGATTTCTATTTTATTTACCTTGAATTACATGAATTATTATTTTACGTTATTTATTTCATTTACTTTGCAACATGTAGTTGAGCTACAGAATTAAACTTCGAAAATTGGAACTCCGATGGCTGTGGTGACAGTTGCCCAGGCAAAAGTGGCTTGGAATGAGTCCGTAGTGGATTCTCCGGCTCCAGAGACTTGCCTCGGTGGCTTCAAACGACAAATTTTCTGGCAATTAGGTTTGTATAATTAACTCGATTTGTTGAGCACTAGTTTCTTTAATTAGGAACAAAAATGCAGCACAGTAAAAAACAAACTTAGCAGTACAAAATCAATATTTTTTGCACACATTTCAGATTATGTTAAACCACCAGAATCAACAACATTTATACAGATAGTTTTGAAAATGTTTAAAGTTACTTTTTTTATCATTTATTTATTTTAATTGTCAGGTCGCGTCGGAGGGGTTGACTCTGAGGGTTGCTTGGTCGATATTTTATTATTGACAGTTCGATTCGTCGGAAATACGTCGAAGGGAAATAGGGATAGGTTCCGATAATGACGGTCGCTTATCGTGCGATTCATCAAACGTAGATGTGTCGTGTAGTACTCTGAAGGGGAAGAGGGTTGCTGCGATGGTAGATAGAATGAGGAGGTCCGCAAATATGACAAATTGTCCATGTATTGTGTATGACTTGCCGTTTCCTTACATGAATCTGTTTTCATATAACTACCGAAACGAATGGAATTCTCCCCTTCATACAATACGAATTCACTTACAAACTAATACAAATGGCGTTACATGCGTTATTAATTAAGCTTCTACAAATAAAATTTTGATAATAGGTAGATTGTACATAGAGTAAATATGTATATAAACTATTTATTCTCAAGGAAAGCTATTCATTTACTGAAGTATTTATTCATCTGTTCATTTTGATGAAAAAGTACTAAAGATTTTTATTTAACTAGTGATGAGAAATAATGTGCAAAACGACTTTCCTATACTTTCATATCTTTCCACGTTAAAAAAGTAGTTGAGTCGATTTTGTCGATAAATTTCATTAGACAAATTGCTTTCATCGATATTGGAGTAGTATTTGACTGTCGAGAGTTTACGGTCATGGACGATGTAATCTTTTGACGCGAACGGTTTTATGCGTTTTCGTTGAAAAGTCTGGTCAAACGCTCGACATTCAATACGTTTAATTACCAACGGTTTGAATTAGCGAGGCGGTCCGCTTTCACTTTCATCATCAGAAAATTAGAAAGGTAAATACGTTCCGAAAACACACGTTTCAATTAAGCTAATAGGAAACTAAATTAATTTGACATGTTAATGTCTCTGTTTATGGGTATGAGAAACATTGCAAATCCATTTAGCAACATACAAACTCCGA